CTGTGCTGCTCCCCTCTCTTTATCCACTTTGCTGATCGAGGCCGTGTGTGTACCTTGCCAACAAGCAGCAAAGCCAGTGCATCCCAGCCGCCCGAGTCAGGAAGGTCTGGAGACCGCACTGTCGGCGGGAATGTGCTGCTTCTATTGCAGAGTGTCACTGCTTTGTCTTTTATCTGTTGTTGCGTGGAGTGCGGAGGCTTTAACAAGGAGAGATGGAGGGACCATTTTCTTAATTAGCCTGGCCTGGCCTCTAAGGGACAGCACTCAGGCAAGGCTGGATTGTCGGAGCTCCTTCAGGATTCTTCTCCTGCAAGTAGCTCTGTGGGAGCCAGCGAGGTCCAAGGGCAGGTGAGGTGAGGTGGGATGGCGGTGAGGTGGGATGGTGGCAGGTGAGGTGGGATGGCGGTGAGGTGAGGTGGTGGCAGGTGAGGTGGGATGGCGGTGAGGTGGGATGGTGGCAGGTGAGGTGGGATGGCGGTGAGGTGGGATGGCGGTGAGGTGGGATGGCGGTGAGGTGGGATGGCGGTGAGGTGAGGTGGGATGGCGGTGAGGTGAGGTGGGATGGCGGTGAGGTGGGATGGTGGCAGGTGAGGTGGGATGGTGGCACGTGAGGTGGGATGGCGGTGAGGTGAGGTGGGATGGCGGTGAGGTGAGGAGGGATGGCGGTGAGGTGAGGTGGGATGGCGGTGAGGTGAGGAGGGATGGCGGTGAGGTGAGGTGGGATGGCGGTGAGGTGAGGTGGGATGGCGGTGAGGTGAGGTGGGATGGCGGTGAGGTGAGGAGGGATGGCGGTGAGGTGGGATGGCGGTGAGGTGAGGAGGGATGGCGGTGAGGTGGGATGGCGGTGAGGTGAGGAGGGATGGCGGTGAGGTGGGATGGCGGTGAGGTGAGGAGGGATGGCGGTGAGGTGGGATGGCGGTGAGGTGAGGAGGGATGGCGGTGAGGTGGGATGGCGGTGAGGTGAGTTGGGATAGCGGTGAGGTGAGGAGGGATGGCGGTGAGGTGAGGAGGGATGGCGGTGAGGTGAGGAGGGATGGCGGTGAGGTGAGGTGGGATGGCGGTGAGGTGAGTTGGGATGGCGGTGAGGAGGGATGGCGGTGAGGTGAGGAGGGATGGCGGTGAGGTGAGGAGGGATGGCGGTGAGGTGTGGTGGGATGGCGGTGAGGTGAGATGGTGGCAGGTGAGGTGGGATGGCGTGGTAGCGTCCTCACCACCATGCCCATGGAGCCTCGGTGGCTGTTCACACTGGACAGGACCTCCTGGACAGCCTTGTCCTTTCAGCCCAGAACGTGTCCAGGACCGCAAGGACTCTCAGCACTGGGTTTCTGAGGTGAGCTTGGCAGCCATCCCTGGCTGCGAGGAAGGTTTTTGTTAACGCACCTCCGAAGGAGCCTGTGCGCATTCGGTGTGACACTAGGAGGCGAGTTATTACACAAGCAGCACACTTTCTGTTAGAGGCCATTTCTAAAATGAATCTGTGTTTTGAAAAATGACCCTCCAGTTTGAGTATAGAGAATCTGAAGCAAACAGGGTGCCAGTGACAAAGATTCTCGGCTTGCCTTCCTTCACTCAGGCTCCAGCGCCTCCTCCCGGCCCATCTCTGCACTGACTTGTAAAATCCAGCTTTATCAAGAAGGCTGCTAAGTCTGTTTAGCAAGAACCTCTTACCTGGATATCTGATAACCCTCAATGTCTGATTGAGTTCCTCATTTGCTGCCATCCCCACATGATATCTGCTCACCTGGGCTTGCCCTCAGCAACAATCCTGTTAGGCCAGTTTAGCCAGAATCCCCCTATAGGCCTTGATGTTTCCTCTCAGGAACTTTCCATCCACTGACCCCTCTCTGCTATAAATTTCCACTTGCTCATGTTGTATTCAGAATTGAGCCTGGTTCTGTACTGAGGTCTCTTTTCTCCTATTGCAGTAGTCCTGAATAAAATCTTTACTTTATTTATATATGTATTGTGTATTCATTCATTCATTCATTCATTCATTTTGCTTTAACCACTGTCCAGCTCTGGTTTTCTTTACTACCAGGTTTCCATTTATGTTGAGCACTGGCGTGTGTGTGAACTATAGATAAAAGTAGGACAAAGAACGGTAAGGCAGAAAAGGAGTGCAAGTACTGACTTCCCCACATCATCTCTGTATTGTATTTTGTGTCGTTCAAGATCAGTGTAAAACTGCATAAACCTAACATGCAACTGTAAAAGCCCAAGCAAATCATATATAGGTAGGTTCTTACTGTATCACCACTGTAATGTTCGTGAAACGAGGAGATTGCCAGTTGGCCTTGAAGAAACCTTCACGTGTGTCCAGACGCTGATAGAGGACGCTGCTGTTGCAATACCAGTCTGCTCTTTGCCAGAGGCCTATTGAGTTGTTGTTGTTTGTGTCCATCGCTCGAAGGACCACTGAGTTGGTGCTGCTGTCCACAGGCACTGATACTGAGAAGAAATGATAAGGAGACAATCAGCCATCTATGTAGTAAGACAGGGGATGAGGGTCATGAAATCAAAATTAACTGTGAAAAAAGAAAGTTACAACTAGCATGTACATGTATATTTTTGTTAAAGAAGTTGAAAAACATCTGGAAGGAAAGCCATCGAGATATTAACTGTGGTCATTTCTGGGTAGTGGGATTACAGATGATTTTATTTGTGTTTTCTAAATTTTCCATGGCCAAAAGCTAGACAAAAGGAGAGTTTTGCTACCTCCCAGGGGCGAGATTCGAGGCGGGCTCCTAACTTCTGGAGCCTGGTTCTCATCTGTCAGATGAGGGATAAAGATGCTCTGTCCTTCTTTCAGGGGAGTGGGATGTGGGCAGAGCAGGGTTGGTGCATGTGACAGGGTCACGTGGGCCCCCAGGAAGTGTTCCCGGAAAATCGGGAATGTTATTCCAAATCAGAGCAGAGCCCACTTCCTAGTCTTAGACATGCCGAAGCTCTCGGTGTCTGTGGATGAGGGTGGGGGAGGGGCCTCTGAGCCCCTGGGGCTCTAATCCAGGCACCTGTTACACGACCCTTCAGAGTCCCTAACCTCCACTCCAGTGAATCTCTTATGACCTAGCTTAGCATGCATTCACAGGAGACCCCACTGACACTGTTAATTCCAGCATTCTGATGTGTAATGGGAAGCAAATTTTAAGAGAACATTTCGGTGGGTTCATTTCCTCCTTTAGAAGGTCCCTTCTGAATGAATTCCTCAACGCTAAGGTGTTCTTCAGGGCCCTTTCAGACATCAGGAATTCCTTCAAGGACTTCTCCTTCACAAACCAAAGAAAATGGGTCAGGTAGCACAATAGGATGCGACCGTGCTGGTTCTGAATTCCAGCTCTAACAAGTCATTTCACCTCTGAGACTCAGTTCCCTTATTCTTCATTATTCACTCCATAAATAATTGTTGAATTCCAACTTTGCACAAGCCCGGTTCTAGGTCTGGAGATAATGACATTATCCTTATTATATGGAGACCATGACACTTTATTTTGAAAGGTTCCTGGGAGGAGCCCGGCTGGCGTGGCTCAGTGGTTGAGCATCAACCTATGACCAGGAGGTCATGGTTCAATTCCTGATCAGGGCACATGCCTGGGATGCAGGCTCAATTCCCAGTAGGGGGCATGCAGGAGGCAGCCAATCAATGATTCTCTCTTATCATTGATGTTTCTCTCTCTCTCTCTCTCCCTCTCTCTTCCTCTCTAAAATCAATAAAAATATATTTAAAAAAAGAGAAATATTCCTGGGAGGAGTAACAAGAACAGTGCAAAGACTTTAATACACAGTGTGTGTTAAACAATTTTTTAACACAATGCACTTCTCTGTTCTATTTCTTTGCCATTGCCAATTAAGGTGGGTGGAGCCAGACCCTATGGGCCCTTACTTGCTCAGTGAGAACCTGACATTTGTCCTAGATGTGTGCGTGATGGTGACGTGGACTGTGGCAAGCCATGGTGTGTGTCATCCAGGTGGTTGTCAAGTCTGTTGGCTCCCCCTCAGGCATGTTCTTGCCTCTGTCTTCTCTTCTGCTTTCCCTCTCTCACTCTGGCTCATATCCTCCTTTCTTCTCTCCTAGGCATCTGTATTATTTGGATTTCTGGTCTCCACTTTCTCCTCCACATTCAGCCATTTACTCAGGCAGTGGCCAGATCAGACTTCCACACACAACACTCCCATCCGGAGGCACTCTTCTCCAAAACCATCAAAGCACCCTTATTTCTAGAGCACGAAACATTCTGCTTCTGTTCTGTTGGGTACAGTGCCCAGCACGTAGCTTTCATGACCTCATAACCTAGCTCCCCCTGCTATTTGCACACCCCCTCGTGGGGCAGCCAGTCTTCCTCTGGTTCCACAGACACATGTGACTCACGCCTGCTCCTGGTCTCTGTTCATGTCTGTCCGTCTGTGTGGAATCCTTACTTCGTTTTCATCACATATTTCACTCCCATTTACTCTCCAAGATCCTGCTATGTCCCACCTCCGGGCCAATTCACCCTTCTTTCCCTCTCGCACCTGAAACACTTATTTTTTTTTTTAACTTAATTACCTTCTGGCTTAATTACATATGGTGGTTTCCTCTGTGTCAGTATCTGGCCAGCCCAGTGCTGAGCACCTGGAGGGCAGTAAATAACTTCTAACTGATTGATTTAGCAAGCTGTGCATCCCATGTTGTACAGTCAGTGCCCTTAAAGCTGAAGATGCAGGAATAAAGGCAGGCAGGTTACATCCCTCTTGCCCACAGAAGTAAAAAATGGAGGCAGATGCTGACCTGGTCCAGTCTTAACATAAATGTCACTGCTTTATGGGTTTCCTTCAATGACATGGAGACAGACCCAGGGAACTTGTTCTAAGATACTGCCTGAGCTGCCACTGTGTCTTGGAACCTGTCAAGCCATTTGTACATGACTAACCAGTGTTGACACAAACCCTGAAATTTAGAAAATTTCAAATTCAAAATAATAAGAAGTTGGCTTGTGTGGGCATTTACTCAGTCTCACCAGCTGTCTCACAGTGACACTCTACGAGGAAATCCGGAGACTGTGGTGTAACCCAGGTGTGCAATCGGGCACTTCACACCTCTTGAGGGCACAGGGTTTTGACTCAACTTAAATCATTCCTACAGTGAGTCAGTCAGCGTGTCACGGAACTACAGCACATCTGTGGTGAAATAGGTGAGGCAGGGGACGGACACTGCACGTGGTAGGCATTTAACGAACCTGAGACCCCTTTTCCTTTCCCTTTCCCCCTACTCTGCCCACTGCCGCTGTGGATGCTGGGATTTCCCTTTCAGCCAGCATGGTCCCTTCCAAGGGGCCTTTCCTTTGTAAGGCATCTTACTGATCACCTTTTGACTCTTCTTCCTCCTGTCTTCCTACTTTCAGAAGGCCCTCTGCACCCCAACCTTCACAAGGTAGGTTCCTATTTCTTCCATTTTAACAGCAAAATCCTTCACCTTGTGATGTGTTATCTCAAGTTAGTAGTCCCTCTGGCCCCCCAGGTCCTTTCCCACATACAAGGTCAGACACGTGCCCTCCTTATTTTCATCTTGGATTACAAGATGGTCCTCCCTGCCCTGTGGGACAAGATCCACTGCCTGAACGAGTAGGACGCAGTGAGCCTTATCACAACTGAGGCATTTATGGTGACAGTCCCCGTGCAAAAAACAGATAAAAGCACAAGCTGGCATGGGCGTGTGAAGGCAGGCTATAGTCCTTTTCCTGCTGACGCCCGAATCTGTGGACCGTGGTATTCTTTCAAAATGTGGTTAGAGTTCTAAGAGAGGCAGGAGAACACGGTCGATGAGGACAGGCTCTGAAGCTGGATAGCCTGGCTGCACAAAGCTGCGCTGTTATTTAGGTTCAAATATTAGCTATGTTACTAGTGATCTTGGGTAAAACTTTAACTTACCTGCCTCAGTTCTCATCTATAAAATGGGAAGATAACAGTATTGGCCCTTAGAATAGTACCCACTGCATAGCAAGAAGTATCAGTTCTTATTACTATAACTGAAAGGCGTATGTGTAGTGGTTAGGGTAGAGTCTCTGACTGCTCAGGTTCATGTCCCAACTTCACCACTCAAGTAGCTCTGTGACCTGAGCAAGTCACTAGCATTTCTACCTCTGTCTCCTCATCTACAAAACAGGAACAACAGTGGCCTCTACCTAATAGGTTATGGGGGCTACATGAACTAATACATGTAAGCCACTAAATTAAATGTTGCTATGAAAGTAATTAGACAGCACTTGCCTGACTTGTAGGTTTGGCTGATCCCAAAAGGGATATTTGTAAAATATTACTAGGCACCTCTAAGAAAAGCATTGGATTAGGAATGAAAAGAACAAGATTCAACAGCCAGTTCTGCCACTAGCAGTGAGACCCCGAGCAGGTCATTTAACTCTCAGCTTCAGGCTCCTCAGAGAGAAGGTGGGAGAGCAGTACGTTCCCTGTCTAGTGAACTGGGCTTTTCACATGTGGACTAAATGAGAACAGCGCCTCCTGGAGTTGTGCAGTACACAGTCATCCACAGGGCCACTGTTTTATCAAATGGATGTGAAAAGATAACTGTGATGCAATCTGTATCGCTTACCATAATAAACATGCCGACTTTAAGTCAGAACTTGCCATGGGTGTGCTCTTGCCGGGGCCAGTTAACCTGGGCGTTGGAACTTAATGGCTCCTTGCTGCTCAGCTTGGCACAGGGAACAGGCAGAAGCATCCCCACCCAACCCACTCTCTCCCATGTTCTCATTCTTTCTGCCCGCACTTCCCATCCTGGTCAAAAATGCATATTTTGTGTAGTTGAGAGCAGAGATGGAGAGTTATGTTCTGAAATTCTGGTAGACTGCCCTTAGAGAAAAAAGACAGAGAGAAAGGCTCTTACTTACTTGTGTAGATTCTGTTGCTTTCATAGATATTTGAATTGATCTTGATGCCTGGACCGGTGGTGGGGGAGACTGTACTGAAGGACATGCATCTGTCAGGGTAATCTGCAGAGCTGGCAGAAATGAGCAGCATGCCAAAGCACAGGGACAGCAGTGTGGAGCCCAGGACTGCCATGGTCGAGATCTGTCTGGAAACTGCTGGGCCTGGAGCTGCGTAAGATCTCACCTATTTATATGCTTCAGGGCTGGAGTTTCTGGGTGAGGTCATACATGCAAATTCCCCTCTCACCGCTCCCTAAAGTCAACTGGCTTCTAGAATTTGTCACCATGATCCTTTATCAATTCCAGTTTTGCTCAAGAAAGGGAATGTACTGACCATGAATTTACTTTGCATCTCATTCACCTCAGTAGCTTGAAGAAAGCTGCCGAGAAAGGTTTAGTGCTGGCAAAGTGAAATTAGGGATGAGTAATCATCACATATCTCACTTAGAAGTTCCACTCTTCCTCCGGTAGGAAACTCAGTCACAAAAGCCATCTTTTCTGGAATGTTGCACATCCATTTTCAATTCTCCTTAATTGGACATGTCTCCAATCCCAGCTCATTTTGTGACTAGTATACAACTAAAAACATTGTGCTCCTGGATTTATTTATTCATTTGGAAAGACACAGCATTGGCCCATGTTGCTCCTGACACTTTCATCCATAGCACCATAGAACAAGGCAACTACTAAAAAAATAAAATCAGAAAACATGTTTTTTCATATTTCTCTTCTGATGGTTAGAACTGGTTAAAAAAAAAAAGATCAGTAAACTTGAGGATATTAAAATAAATTTAACAAAGACACGCAAGACTTATACACTGAAAACTATAACAAGGGACCCAGGATAGCCAAAATGATCTTGAAAAACACACCAATAAATAAGTTGGAGGACTCACACTTACCAATTTCAAAACTTACTACAAAGCTATAGTAATCAAGACAGCGTGGTATTGGCATAAGGATAGACGTATAGATTAATGTAATAGAGTTTGAGAGCTCAGAAATAAACCCATACATTTATTTATTATTATTATTTTTTGTTTGTTTTCAGATTGGGCTATATTTCACCTAGTGAGTGTTACAATGTCTCTTTTATGTCAAGGGAAAATAATAGTAAGAAATAGTGATCCATTGATTAAAAAACCCAAGAGCCACAGCATTTACCCTGATAGTAACATTAAAAACAGATGCATTTTATTACATGCAAAGAGCAGAGATGGTGCTAAGAATTGAACTTATATCATCTTACTTAATTTTCACATCCCTCTCCCTGCCAGATGGTAGGTACTGTGGTATTATCCACATTTCAACGAGGAAGAAATGAAACTTGGGGAATTTAAATAACTTGTCAAGGTCACAGATCTAGAAAATGGACAGAGAAAGGACTTACACCCCAATTCTTCAGAATCCAGTGGTTATGCCTCCTGGTTAGACCAAATTTTTTCTTGCTTTTTAAAAAAATTCTCTATAGTTGAAAGTATTACATATGTCCCCTTTTCTCCCTACTTCCTCTCCCAGCCCACCCCCACCCCCCAACCCAGGCCTTCACACCCCTATTGTCTGTGTCCATTGGCTATGTCCATCTGCATAGAAGTTCTTCTAAACCCATACAGTTATGATCAATTGAATTTTCACAAGGGTGCCAGGACAATTTGATGGGGGAAAGAACAGTCTTTGCAACAAATGGTGGCAACTGGATATCCACATACAAAAGAATGACATTTGATCTCTACCTCACACCATATGAACTCAACATGGATCAAGGACCCAAATGTAAGAATTTAAACTATAAAGCTCTTAGAAGAAAATATAGGTATATATTTTCATGGCCTTGGATTAGGCAACAGTTTAATAGATATAATGCCTAAAGCAAAAGCACCCAAAGGAAAAAATAGATAAGTTGGATTTCATCAATACTAAAATCTTTTGTTCTTCAAAGGACACTACCAAGAAAGTGCAGACAACCCAAATAATGGGAAAAAATATTTTCAAATCATATATTTGATTAGGACCTAATATCTGGAATATATAAAGAATACTTACAACTCAACAATTAAAAGACAAATATCCCAAGAGAAACAAAGAAAAAATAAGCAAATGTGACTACTTCAAATTGAAAAGTTTTAAAAACAGGCAAATGATTTGAATACTTGTCCAGAGAAGACATATAAATAGCCAATATTACATGAAAAGATGCTCAGCATCATTAGTCATTAGGAAAGTGTAAGTCAAAATTACAGAGATCCCAACCACAGCCTCCCGGGAAGCTATGATAGAAATGACAGGATGTGTTGGCAAGGACATAGTGAAATTGGAATCCTCATGTACTGCTGGTGGGAATGTATAATAAGTAGGCCACTTTGGAAAACAGTTTGGCATTTCTTAAAAAAAATTAAATATAGAGTTACTATTATATGGCAACTCCATTCCTAGGTGTATATACTCAAGAGAATTAAAAACACATGCCCACACAAAAACTTGTACATAAATGTTTTAGGAGCATTATTCATAATAGTCAAGAAGTGGAAACAACCCAAATATCCAACTTCTGCATAGATAAAAAAGTGTGGCATTTCCATTCAATGGAAATTATTCAACTAGAGAAAGGAATGAGGTGCTGATAGCTGCTACAACATGGATGAACCTTGAAAACATGCTAAGCAAAGAAGCCAGACACAAAAGGCTACATGTTATATGATTCACTTATATAAATCTCTAGAATAGGAAAATTTGTAGACAGAAAGTGGTTGCCAGGGTAAAGGGAGAATGGGAAGTGACTGCTACTTGGTTTAAGGGTTTCTCTTTGGTGTGATGGGAATGCTCTGGAATTATTTAGTAGTGATAGTTTCATAATCTTGTGAATATACTGAAAAAACTGAATTGAATCTGATGGTTTGTGAATTATATTTCACGAAAAATGTTTCTTACATAATGTTCTATGTAGGCAAGTTGGGATAGTAGAAAGAATGCAGCAGAACTTGAGAATTACTAGTAGATCTGGCTTAGAATCCAGGCTTTGGGAGAGTTTTAACCTATCTGAACTCTAGTTTCCACTTCTGAAAGTTGGGGCATTAACAGCAATCTTACATCGTTTTATGTATATTAAGTGAGAGATATTTGTTAGCTGGTTTGGGGGTGGGGTGGGATGGACATATAGTAGGTTTATAACACATGTTAATTAATTTTTCCTTCTAGCCTTTCCTCCTTACCACCCTCCCTTCCTCCCTTTCTTAGTTTGTACCAGGTTCTAACAGAATCCCAAGGTCAATGACCACTGGTGGATCCAGGGATCCAGGTGTCAAAGGTGTGAGGGTTGCAACATGGCCTCCACGGGGACAAGTGCATGGGCTTTCGCAGGGAGAAGCCTCTGTCTGAATCCCACCCCTCATGCTGTGACCTGGACTGTGCTTAACTAGCCTGAGCCTCAGTTTTTGTATTCATCTTAAAAAAGTAATAATGCCAGCATTGCGGGATTGTGTCCAGGTTTAAGTGGTAACGCAGGTGACAGTAATTGGTGGTTCCTACCCACCAACGGTGGGACGCAGTGCAACTCCAGGAGGACGGGCCTGGAGAGTGTTCACGTTCATTCGTTTGCCCAGAGTGGATTCTTAAGTCAACATGTGTGGATTTCGGGACTGACTAGGTTGTACCCTTCAGCTCTGTAGTTCAGAGCTGAACCTTAATGTGGATCCTTATGTTTTAGAGAGTAATCTAGTGGTCAGCTTTTTAGAAAATGTGCACCGTCCTTCTCATTCCCTGAGGTCTTATACATTCTCAGAGAGATGACATGCTATTGCACGTGTAAGAGTTTTCAAGTTGAACTGGCTCTAAGAGATCATTTTAATGGAACTGAACACAGAAAGATTAAACTTGCCTAAGGCTATAGACCCACTTAGTGGCATGTGCAGAGCTAGCCCCGGCCTCCTGCCTCCTGCCTCCTGCCTCCTGCCTCCTGCCTCCTGCCTCCTGGATGGGTATGTCCTCCACTGTACAGTTCTACTATTTAGTTAATACACACCAGCTTGATGTAGCATTTTATTTTATTATTTTTTATTATTTTTTTTCAACGTAGTATTTTAGATTCAAGTGAGTCAAAGTCAAGATATGGTACATGTTAATTTTAATAGGCCATATGTATACTTCATAGTACATTTGGGACTCTTGCCCAGTCAATATGCATTTTATAGAATGTGGGGAGAAGTTTACTATCGCAATAGTTATATCTTTGCTCAGGACTTTTTGCTGATCTTGTCTGTGACTGAATTTGATCCTAAATTGTGTCAGGGGCACAGTCAGATGGCACAGTGCTCCTCCCACAGGGCCTTGTTTGTATGCAGTGGTCAGTGGGCTTGGTCTGGGGGCACTGAGTAAGCTGCTCAGGGGGCCACAGCTTTAGGGAAAAATAACCCCTGCTTTATAGGCCATTGTTACCAGACTGCAGCCTGTGAGAGTCGTCATCGACTGCTCACAGGTCTTCATGGAATGAGAACAAATGGAGAGATTTTAAAAAAGAAAGCAAACATTTATCCAGTTTAAAGGACTTCCTTTTACTCTGATAATACAGCTTTTTGAAAATTTATTTGTAACGTATCCTTTCTTTTATGAAATTATGGTCATTGTAGAGTATAGAGTATAGAGTAGATTCTTCCCAGCTGTTAATTTTTTAATGTCATCATTTGGGAAAATGAAACACTGACACCCTCTGGTTTACTTTCTATCCAAACTCCTAGAAATGCCTTGCGTGGTGTGGCAGGAAGCAGGGTTCGCTAGCGGTTAAGTAGAGCTGGAGAGCTGATGTAGGAAGCCCGTTCAAGACCCCTTCATAATTGAGTGGGAGGTTGGATCTCTTAGCTCTCCTTCCAACATTAGCAAATTGGAAATTTATTCCATTCATTTTTAGGCAGAAACAAAAGTGTTGAAGACACTTGGGGCTTTAGCAGAGAGTATTAGTAGGTGAGGAATTGAAATGAGACAAGAAGGGAAGCCAGGATTCAGAGCTTCCCAATCCCCACATAGAAGAGGAACTAAAAAAGGCACCACGAGCAGAGGGAGGAGGGAGGTTTGGACACCCTCTTCATGGGACCAGCCAGCCTGGGTTCCGCCCTGGAGAGGCAAGCGCTCCCTGCCTGAGTGGAAGTGCATTGCAGGTGCCCGAGGAGAGCCTAGCAAGCCTGGTCACTTACCTCTGCAAAGAGTGGCTCTCCTTAGTTCCTGTTAGCTGCACTCTAACATTTCTTTGGAGGACATACTATTTGATCAAGCCATTCAAATGCATTGTCTCTACCATTTAACCAGACAATTCAACAGTGAAAAAATATGGTGCAGTTTAACTAGCTGGGCATGAATGGGAACTCCTAGGATTAGAGGCTATCAGTGTGTGCTCTGACCAGAATGTGATGGAGACATTGCTCCATGGACAAAGCCAAGGAAATTGCCACTCATGGGAACTCCCTTACATCCAATTCTTAAAGTGTATTGGTTTTCTAATGTCCTGCCTTAGTCACATGGGTCTTCAGGTATCTCCCAGAAGTATAGGAGTTGGAAAGTAAGACATTAAGGATATAGGGAAAATAAGGATAGAAAGACTAAGGCAGCTGTTCTCAACCTGTGGTCGCGACCCCTTTGGGGATCGAACGACCCTATCACAGGGTTTGCCTAAGACCATCGGAAAACACATATATAATTACATACTGTTTTTGTGATTAATCACTATGCTTTAATTATGTTCAATTTGTAACAATGAAATTGGGGGTCACCACAACATGAGGAACTGTATTAAAGGGTCGCGGCATTAGGAAGGTTGAGAACCACTGGACTAAGGTAATATGAGGGCGGCAGGTTCATTATTTCAGAAATGTTTGTTGAGTGTCTCTGTGGGTTTGGTACTGCTGTGGGCATGGGGAGAAGGAGACCAACCTCTGATGCCATGGGCCATGAAGTGCTACTGTAGTGAACACTTTCCCGGGGTGATCTAATATGTTACAGCAAGGCTACAAATACAAACTGAATCCAGCCCATGCCTTTCCCTTTTCAGTAACATTCCATTAGTTGAGTCACAGGAACATCCTTTAATTCATGTAATTCCCTTAAATGCTACTCACTTTAGCCTTCAGTTGCAAACTATGATTGTTTTCCTTTGTACTGATCTGATACTATATAGTAGCACTTAAATTCATTACTGTATACTACAGCATCTTATCATCCTTAAAAATAAAACAAATGACAGCACCTACTCTCCTGGTGACAAGTAGGCTTTATTCCTGGCCTTGTGTACAAATTTTGTCACTAATGTAACTTGTTATTGATATGTTAACTTCTGAATTATTTGAGGCCCTGTTTCCTAAATTTGAAAAGCACTGACTTGTGCCTCATTCTATGAACATATCCTTCATTTGAGGATTATCACTTCAAAGATTAAAAAAAGAAAACACCATGAGAAGCCCATTTTTAAATGGTCATTGAAATTAAAACATAAAATCTAAAAATTCCTAATGGGACTTGTGGATCCTAAGAATACAATAGATGCCATTTGGAGATATACTTATTTAGTTATAAGTTATTAATTATTAGTGATTAATATACAATTAGTGTATTTAAAGAACTGGTTCAAATATTACTGTTTTATTTTTGGCATTAATAAAGTTATGGGAAAGATAGTATAGTACTTATGTCATGAATAAGTACTTAAAAAATTTCAATATGTACTTTCAAGCCAGAGATTCTGATCAGTCCTTGTGCAGTGGGGCCCAGACATTGGCATTTTGAAGGCTCTGCAGGTCTTCTCAGAGGCAGCCAGGGGTGAGAACTGCTCTGCTGGACCTGGTGGAGAAAACAAAACCCAGTCAGACATTTACGATGCTCTCAAAGGCCTGGGACAAGTGAGGACAGGAAAAGGGGAGACTACTTCTGAGCCCTGTAAAGCTCAACCTTGCTAGATAGTTGCTTTCTAGCTGTATTTACTTCTCACAACAATCCTGAGCTGGGCACTGTCACCCATTGTACAGAACCTGAGGCCCCGTGACATGAAGTAGAGAAATTGAGATTTATGTCTGCTCCCTGCTATTAACAGCAATGATTTTAGGCCTGTGAGCTGGGATTTGAACCCGGTCCTATCCTGTTTTGGCCATAGGCTACCTCCAGCGTATGACATAGTCCTACAAAAACTCTATAGGCAGGAAGTGATTGGTTCAGGCAGAACAAGAACATTATCTTGATTTCCTGCTATTGGTGCCCTGGGGCTTTGACTTTATAAGTAGTTTCAGGATCTCTCATATTTATTAACTATCTATATATATAAAAGCCCAGTGACCGAATGGTGGAATGACTGGAACAACCAGTCACTATGATACACACTGCAGCGGCCAACAGGCCTAATCAGGCCCCAATCAGCCCTGCCCAACTTCCCGTGGCCCCACTCCCAGGCTGGCCCTGCCCCCAATTGGGCCCCCCACCCCATTGGGGGTGGGCCAATAGGCCGAACTGCCTGCAGCCGCTCCCCCCTTGCCGGCCCCACCCCCAATCGGCTCCCATCGGGGTGTGCCAGCCGGACCCCACGAATTTGTGCACCAGGCTTCTAGTAAGTAGTAAGAGTGCTGTTCTATTGTAAGTAGAAATAAGCTTTCTTGCTGTTTTACTTTCAGGAAATAAGCACTATTAGTTTTACTTGGTTACTCTAGAGCCGTGGTCAGCAAACTGGCTCATGAGCCACATGTGGCTCTTTGGCTTCTTGAGTGTGGCTCTTCCACAAAATACCATGTGCAGGCGCACACATACAGTGCGATTGAAACTTCGTGGCCCATGTGCAGAAGTCAGTTTTCGGCCTGGGTGAGTCTATTTTGTAGAAGTACTGTTGATATTTGGCTCTGTTGACTAAGGAGTTTGCTGACCACTGCTAGAGCAATAGATCCCAAATGAGGGTGATTGGCTACCCAGGGATGTCTGGAGGCATTTTTGACTGTCACACTGGTGGGGGTTCAGTAGTGAGTAGAAACGAGGGGTCAAACACCCTACAAGGCATAGGACTGCCCCTGCAACACAGAATTATCCAGCCCCAAATGTCTATGGGGCCGAGGTTGTCAAACCCTGTTTTAGAGGAAAGGAATTGAATTATCTGGTGTATGGAACATTACTGGTTTTAATAACAACCAATAAATAGCATTTATTAAACATCCATGGTGTTTAGAACCTTCAGTTGGCCAGTCAGCATTTGTGTTGTTGGTGTCACTCCCAAAGTACCATTGAAAATGATTTTGAACCTCAGGAAGCTTACACTCCAGCATAAAAGTTGAGCAGCTGTGAAAAGGGAAAAGTCATACTTGGTGCAGTGAGAAGAAGATAAGCACAGAGGCAAGGAAGCTGGCCCCTTCTGTGGTGCTTGAGAGCAGGATCTCTGACATCAGGAAGAAAGATCTGTGATTGTCCTGCTTCTCTATCTGCTACCCAGGTGCCCTCAGACCAGCATGGAACTGCTCTATTCCCTCGTCCATACAATGGGGATAATGTTAGCACCCACCTCAAAAGTTTGTTGGATGCTTTTAATGAAATAGTACAAATAAGATACGAAGCCCAACATAGAGTAAGCACTCAATAAGTGCTTGTCTTTCTTGTTGTTATCACTGGAGCGATTCCACCGAGGTGCTGCCTGGGAGCTGCCCACACCTCCTCCAGAAGGGAATTGCAAGATGCCCAGGCTTCTCCCATCCTTGAGCAATGCAAGGTGAGTCACGGCTGTAAGTGCCTCACTCCGGCTCCAGGACAGCATGTCCAACTGGTAATGAGCCTCCACTGCAGCTGGGTTGGGGTGGAGCTGGGAGTGGTTGGCTATGGGGAGGTGGGAAAAGAGGAGAGCCAATTTCTTTTTCTTGCGAATCTTTGTAAACTGAAGGCCTTTACTGCAGTCTACAGAGCAGGTGTGTGAGTCCCCATTTGGAAGGTCCAGTGTCCTCTGCCCAGCCCCTTCCCCAGGCAGGAAATATGCTCTCCTGCTCCTACAACCAGTTAGGGGAGGTGAGAGGTTGGCTTGGCCCCCAGAGATTCAGCTGAAGACAGAGGGTGGGGTATTCTTGCCCTGGACACCTACCAGATTCTCTGCGAATGAGGTCATTCTGGTTCTTCATGGTTGTCTGATATGGAGTTTATCAGAAAAGGGCGCCCTATCTTTACCCTTTGTTAACCATACCATAGCTGCCCTTTTCTGTGCTTTGTCAACACTAGATGGTATTTTTAGTTTTCTGTCCCTGGTATTATTCCAACCCTATGTCCTTGTTCCTTTCTTTAGAGCAGTCTTCCAGCCTACGAACCCAGAGGGAGGTGTGCAGGGGAGGCCATATTCGGACGCACGCAGCTATGGGGCCTTTAGCTACCTGTACAGCCCCTCCTGTTTGCTGCTGTCACAGAATGTTCCCTTCGCTCTGTGGGCTCCTGAGCTTTCCCTGGCTGGTCTCATGCCTCTGCCTCTTAACTCCTGTTGGCTGCCTTCTGTATTTCAGGTGGTAAGGGAAGGCTGCTGAAGGGTGGGCGGGAGAAGGTAGGGACCTCCAGGACTTGGCAGCTCTCATTCACACAGGTCCATGTTTACTTCTCCTCTAATATCCTTTGGCTATTCCTTGTTGGTCTCTACTAGGGACTTCCTGGAGGCTTGTTTCTAGGGGAGGAATATGTGCAGGTCTCAGAAAATAGTGAGAAGCAGAGTGTGAGGGTCTGGGGATGTTGGCTGCTTCAGACCCAGCATCTGGATTTAGCTCAGGCCGGGCACTGCCAGCAGGTTTTCATATCAGGGCTCTGCTTAGAACCAACAGTGCCCGGGCTCCAAGCCCACACTCTTCTGCCCCCAGCATCGTCCCCACCTCCATTTCCCTAGATTGCTCACACACACATCACCCTTAGGCTGGTGCCCTGACATGTCATTCTTATCTCCATCTCCACGCCTAGCCTGTTTCCCAGGTTATACTTGAAAGATTACAAGCCTTAGTGCTGGTTTCATGCAGCTGCTTTTCCATCTACTAGTGTAACCTGTTATCTGAGTGAGCTTTTTCATTTAAAATACTTGCCTTGTAGCCCACTGTGACAATCAATTCAGTAATTACTTTTTGAGTACCTAATATGTGTTAGGCACTGTGCTCAGCATGGGGGGAGGGCACGTATGGACGGAGCACAAAGATTCCTGCTTTTGAATTTGGTTAAAGTTTTGGGAGGTTAAATGTAGGTCATTTCAAAATAATGGTAAATGCTAAGATAAAGGTGAACACTGGTGTCTTAGGAATACAAAGGAAGGGCAGGAATGCTTTTTGTAATAAATGGTGGATGAGCTGTTCTGAAGGCTGGGGGAGATGACCCATACCAATGGGGGTGGGGCGAGGACGGGGGGCGGGCGGAGGTTTCCTGGACGAGAGCAGTGTGGAGGTGTGAAACTGCATGATGTGAGCAGGGCATAGCTAAAATGTAATGTTCAAGACAAGGAAAGATGGGCTGATGCTGGAGAGTGACTAGGAAGGCCTTGTAGAGTTTGCCTGCCAAGAATTTAAAACTGTCTTACATGCAACAGGCCTTTCAAGCAGAAGATTGACATGCCAAATCTGGGTTTAGATGAATCACTTTAGTGATTATGTGGGGAGTAGATATGAGAGAGCAAAATTAGGAGTCCAATTAGGAAGCTCTTGCAATAGTCCAGGTGGGTGATGATGAATTATCACAAAATAGTCAGCAGGTGTAGGGCTAGAAGGGAGTGAAAAGATTTTAAAAACGAGGGCAGTCAAAAGAGCCAATCCTAGAGGTAGATTGAAGGAGAGGATGGAGTTAAGGATGACTTCAGGTGTCTGACTTGCCTGGGTGGGTGGATGATGGTGCCGGTGATTAACATGGGGATCACAGGAGGAGCAAGTTTGGGGCAAGGGTGGAGACGACGAGTTCAGTTTTAGACAGGTACAGTGTGAGGTGCCTGGGCAATGTGCTAAAGGAGATGTCTAGCATGCAGTTGTATACACAACTCTGCTGTTCAGGAAGGAGTCCGGGCTAGAGGATAAGCTTGTTAGTTGTCAGAATATAGGTGAAAGTGAGCACTTCAATGGCAGATGCTTTTGTCCAGGAACCCCATGTGGAATGTGAAAAGCAGCAGTTTAAGGACTGATTGATAGGGAACAACTATGAAAAAGTGGTGCGTGGAAGAGGAGTCAAGGTGGAGACCACACTGATCTAAAGAGGGTGGCATTACAGTCACGGGGGAGTAGACAGTTTCAAGAAAGAGAGAGTGAGGAATAGGATCAAATGCAACAGAAAAAAAGGATAGAAAATTATCCACTGAATTTGGCAATGGGAAGGTATTGATGATTCTTGACAGAGGGATGGGAATAGGGGAGTCAGAATGCAGTGGATTGGATTAGGAAGGAGAAGGTGAGGAAGTGGGGAGAGCAGGTATAGGCTTTAGTAGAGAAGAAAAAAGGAAGATAAGGTGGGACTGGGAGGACCAGGAAGGAAGGTTTTTGTGTGTTTTTAAATGTTGCAAAACTTGAGCTTGCATACAACTATAGGCTTAATCGGTAAGGTTATAGGATAAAAAGTGAAAACTGGCGAAGACAAGTTGCAAAGATGGAGAACACAGATGGAGGGGCTTGCCAGGGGTAGGAAGAAATCCTTCATCCTGGGAGACTGGGGAGAAGGAAATAGGAGGAGCCAAAAATTGCCAGGTCATGTAGGGGGCGGGGCCAGAAAGTTAAGGTCATTCTCATTTTATGGGTTCAATTTTCTCATTGAAATAGGAAGAGAAGTTGTCTGCTGAGTTGGAAGGGCTTTGGGTTGGGGGAGAGGGGTGCTGAAGAAGGCTGTGGAGATTGGAAGGCTTTCTGAGGTGATGGGAGCGGTGGCCTACAGGTTCCTTGATGTGCAGCGCTCAGATGCAGAGGAGTCTGGAGACCATGGTGCCAGCATAGAATTACATGCTTTTCTTCAGCAGCACTCAGGGCCTGGGCAGAGGTGGGAGAAAGTGGATCATGGAATTCATTAGGGTTGGATTTTCTCAGAAAATGAGATTGAAGGTAGATGCTTGTAAGAGGATGGTTCAGGCGGTCAACTGTGTGGTCTAGGCTGGGCCGGCTGAAAATGAAGGGCTCGGGGATGGGGTTCCATGATGCCAAGGAGCAGATGTGGCAGGAGTGAGCGCAGGAGAGGAATGCACAAGAGTGGATCGCTGCTTGGGGCTGGGCTGCTGGAGTTTGAGGTTTCTCATGAGGGGCAGTTCTGACAAGGTTCCTGGATGTGAGGGAATCGGAATGGTGTGGAGAGGAAGACCACTGGATTGAGGAGGTTGTGAGCTGTGAGGCTCCAGTGTTGGACAAGTTATGGGCATCCCGGTCACACAGCAGGATGGAGACTGTAGGCGAGAGGAAGGCTATCAGTCTTCAGGGACGAGATTGGAAGTTGGTCTTTGTGAGGGACGTTAGTGGTTCTTACAATCACTTGGCTGAGGCTCAGAACAGTGGCGGCTTTTACAGGAAGGAGAAGAGTAAAGGTTTGGAAATGGCACTGGGAGTGAAGATAGCAACAACCTCTCTTTGACCTGTTGGCAAGGGGAGTGGGAGGTTGAGCAATGTCCATGGAAGGTTACCAGGAAGTGGTCAGGCTGCAATTTGTATAGTTCCTGCACTGTCTGAGGAGGGGAGGGGCTGAAATCTGAGCTTTCCCCACACTTGGGTCCTTAGCGACTGGATTGTTGGGGGCGAGAAGAGGGGGCACTTTTAGCTGATGTGATCTCCCATCCAGAAGAGCCACCTTTCTCTAATTTACAGAAGCACTGTAGAGGCCAGTGATGGCCTGGGAAGTGGTACCCTCTGCAGAGCTGAGTGCAGGAAAAGGGTCAAAGATATTAGGGAAGCCAGGCTGGTGTGGCTTAGTGGTTGAGCGTTGAACCATGAGGTCATGGTTTGATTCTGGGTCGGACATATGCCCGGGTTGCGGGCTTGATCCCCAATCATGCAGGAAGCATCCATCAATGATTCTCTCATCATTGATGTTTCTATCACTCTCTCCCTCTCCCTTCCTCTCTGAAAGACTAGGTACTATGGGCACGTTAGTAAAAGTTTTTTAGAAGTTCTTTTATGGTGTCACCTATTTGGTTCTCTAACCACAGACAGGCAATCAAAACTGTGCACTCAGAAGAATACATTCAATTAGCTCTAATGCAACTTATTAACTAGATATGACTCCATACCTCATATATATAGATATAGATAGATATAGATATAGATATAGATATAGATATAGATATAGATATAGATATAGATATAGATATAGATATAGATATAGATATAGATATAGATATTAGAGGAGTTTATGACACAGTGGGGGCCTCAAGTGACACAGCAGGAAGGTTGGTGAGAGAGAAACAGGGGGAGCAGTACTGAAGTGCATGGAGGAGGAATGACTGGAGGGGAAGTCATTGTCCACAGACACTGTGGATGGTGGGCTCCGAGGCTGATTCTAAAGGTATGACAGGGAGCCTCTGGCTTCCAGGGCCAGGTGGGAGCTGCATAGAGACCCCATTTGGGTGGACTATGGTGGTCCTTGGATATCTGCATCACTCTCACAGGATGCTTATTAAAAATGCCCGTTCCTGGACCCCACTCCAGATCTAAGAAAATGCACTTCTAGGTGACATTAGTCAGATCCATGGTGATTCTTATGTACCCTGAAGTCTGGGAATGTCTTACTGGGAGTCTTGGTGGTCTTGGGCATGTAGTTGGTGATGTCCAATGAGGTGACATAGATACAGAATCCAACATAGGGACTGCCTGGTCGATTATTAGTTGCTATACACACTGCATTCCCTTGATCGTATCAGTGACATATAGGAGGGTGTATAGGTGCAGGCACAGTCTGTTACCAGTGTAAACCAAAATTAATTTTAGACTGTATTAGAGAATAAAAAATATTTGAGCACAAAGGAGCTGCAGGCCTGGAGTCACAGAGTCAGGTAGCAATTTAAATTGCGTTCCACTGAGACAAAGGGGAGGTACCTTTTATAGCAAAAGTTCCCACCAGGTTCTCAATGAGGTCCATTTTATGTAAATGAGGTGTCCAAATTGTGCAGTTCTGATGGCACAGGGCAGGTCTTAGTCCATTAGTAGAAAGACAAAACCAGTGCTGCCCTGCAGTGGTTGACTCAGACAGCGTAAACAGTGGGGCTTAGTGTGGAAAGCAGGGAGTTCAGTCTGAGGTTCTTCCTAGTATACAGAGTATGTCAGGAGCCCCTGTCAGCAAATGGCCACTAGGCTCTTATTATTTATAAAACTTGGGCCCTCAGTTGACCATAGGGCATCATCTCAACAGATAAATTCCTTCTTGGGGTCCACATCAATGAATCTTTCTTCTCGGGATCCACATGCTATCCCAGAAGGTGGGGCAAATATGACATCACTTTTCCCCTTACAATACCTCTCAGTCACGCTTCTGGAAATCCCCTTATTGCTCTTGTCTCTCCTCTCGCCTTTCACAAGCCTTGTAATCTTTCCATCTGCCAGTCTCTCAGGGCCCTGTTGCGTGTTTGAGGGCCAGGTTCATCCTTGCAGCATGTGTAGCACCTGGACAGATAGCACTGACTGCCTCTCCTCACTCCCTTCAGTATTTTGCTAACAATTTACCTCTTTTCTGTGTCTCATTGAAGGCTCTTAAGAAGTGGGTAGGGGGAAAAAGGGAAGAAAGGGGTGGATGAAGGGACAAGGCCCCCTGCCCACCTTGTCCCCTAAATCTTTCTCTTACTTTAGGCTGGTTCATGTCCCACCTTTGGCAGCCAACCCCTCCAACCCACACCAATTGGAAACTGTTTTGAAATTTGAATTAATTCAACTCACATTCAAAATCAGAATTTGAATGAAGCAAATGTGTATTTAGCTGAGTTGGCCCTAGATGCTTTGGACTATACAGATAAAATGTATCAATGAATCGTAAAGGGAAAACTCAGAGCACATTCCTTCCTGGTATCAATCATGGTATCAATCTTCAGCAGACAATCATGGGGTGTGCAGGTCCCGGAGGGCAGGAAGTCCATGCGAATGTCAGTAAGGTATGAGAACGAGTAACAAGCAAATAACCCCAAACTCTTGACCCCCTTTAGGTGTTCAGCCATGTAAATGAAGAAACATGAAATCCTAGGGCTCGGGCAGTTGAAGGGAGTGTGGTGGGGGTTTAAGGAAACCAATGTTAATGTTGTTAATGCTAATTTAATGGAGACCCCTAAAACCTGCATTTGAGTGCCCACCTGTGGTTCTGATGCTCTCAGGCACGCAGTGGGCTAATGTGGGGTGGGGTGGGAGTGGGTAGAGGACATGGCAACCTGCCACCATTTTACAACACTGAGTGACTGTGAAGAAATCATGAAGTCATTGGCCTTTAGATGATGGGACAAGAGTCTGAGTAAGACGCCATCCTGTTCTTTGGGGCTCTCAGGTGACCTGGAAGAGAGGCATGTTTAAGGTTGACTCACAAATCCACAATGGAGATAAGAAAGGCAGGTCCATGAAAGAACAGGGAAGGGAGAAATTAAGTTCAAAACACCTTCTGGGCATTGGTTTTCCCCTCCCCAACTAGATTGCAAGTTTTGGGAGGATAAATATTGTACCTTCTCCCCCCGCCCCCCCGCCTTTTTGTCTGTCATGATACTTAAGATGCCTGCTGTTGAGCATAGAGTAGGTGCATAATACTTGTTCACTCTTACTAATTTAAATTCCTGCAGGGCTTATAACATACTCTGTGTATATTAGGTACGTGGTTTTTGTTAAATGAATAAAATTAATTTTCTCTTTCTTTCATTCCAATACTTTATTTCTCTCATATCTACCAAGGATTTGTATAAGAAATTTTTATTAGAATGAACCATGTGATGATCCATGACATTAGAAAGAAGTTCAACTTTATAGACAAGAAATTTCATTTACAAAATCAGCAAAGATGAATAAAAATAAGGTAATTCCCAATGTTAATGAGGTCACAAGTAAATGTAACGTTTATAAACTGTTAAAGGGTGAAGAAAAGTTCAATTTTGGGTGAGGGCAACCTGATACTATTTGTTAATAGCCTTAAGAATACACATATCCTTTGACCTAGATATTTAACCTCTATGAATTTACCCTAAGGAAACAATTATGACTGAGTGGAAAGAATGACATGGGAGGAAGATAATCATAGCATTGTCCATGACAGTGACAATGGAAAATATCTTCAATGCTAGCAGTAAGTGACTGTGTGTTGAGTATCTTGAAGCAACTTAGATAATGTGGTAGAAAAGTATTTGAAAAATGGGAACATGTTAAAGGTGAATTAAGTGAAAAAGGAATTACACACAAAATAAAGTAGCTCAGAAAGCTAGTCTGGTAGGAATTCTGGAATTTTTGGCCCTTTGCTTTTCTTTTCTGTAAAATGGGGACATTGTTATATGCCCTGCAGGGATTGGTCATATGTAGTCAGAGCACTTGGTTCTGAGCCTGATGTGTAACAGATGCTCCGTTAGTAGTGGATATTATTATCCAATTTCTTTAAAAAGGAAAAGACGTATATATATTTGCACAGTAAAAGAAAGACCAGTAGAAATTACAGCAAAATATTAGCAACTAGTTTCTAACTAGTGATATTGTAATGATTTTTCCCCCTTCTTTGGGATTTTCCCTTTTGACAAATTTTCTACAATGAACACTATAAAAATGATATTAATATTACTCAGAAATGAAGTACTTAGAAAAGAAATGTTCCTAGGCTTGTATTAAAAATAAAAGAATTAAAGAAATGAATTACTAATTCATATGTGTCAGGATTATAAGAAACCTTAAGGATTATTTGTTTAACCTCCTTTTATAGTTCAGGAAACTGAGGCACTGAGAGAGAAAGTGACTTGCCTAAGCTTATACATAAATTACTCACATGTTACACATTTCCAGAGCCAGTGCCTTTTCAACCACACTAGTCTGCCTTTGAGGACATGGGGCTCAAAAAGAGGGGCTCCTTTAGGTCTGGATGTGCCTAAAACCACTGGAGTCACCAGTTGTAGGGAGCGGCTCTAGGATCAAGCCTCGGGCTGACCTGTGTCAGGGCCACAAACAAGACCCAGCCTGGAGGGCAGAGCTCTCCTAGCATAATTAAGCCTGACCTTATAGCCCTCCTTAATTCCTTCCTAAGTAGCTAATGGGCTGTGGGAGGTGCAGCAAGTGTTGCCAAAACAAGAACATTTGTATACATGTTAATCTACCCTTGTTTTAATCTGACTATAAAATAAAGCATCGGCTTATAGGCTGGGTCTTTTGTGTCCTCATCCAGGCATGGGAGATCCACCGAGCCCCAGCTGTATTCTCTTGTCTGTCTTTTCTTCAATCCTTCACCACCCTCCTCAGGTTCACCCTTGGCCATGCTGGTGTGGCGCAACCAGTAGAACCCCAACTCTCCTAAATTTCCCCCAAGCTCCCAGGGGAAGTCTTCTGTTTCCTTTCCTCTCCCCAGGCAGGATAGTGTCAGACAGAATCCACTACTGGAATTTACTCCTTTCTGCCATATAAGTTTGAATAAGTTCTTTCTCCAAATTCTATTTCTTAATTCATTAAATGGAGACAGAAATCCTTTGCATAATTTCCAGCCCAGCTCTGTCTCCTGGGTGCCAGAACCATCTATTCATCTACATGTGGATATCTCACAGGCACCTCCAATCCCACATGTCTAACATGGATTTATTGTTTCCCCCCCCAAGCCCGTTTCTCTTCCTGTATTTTACCTTGGAAAATGGCAGTAGTAGTGGTGAATGTGGGACCTTGGTTCTTGAGTTTGGTTAAGAAATAATTCAGTGTCGCTTCAGCAGCACATATACTAAAATTGGAATGATAGAAAAGACTAGCATGGTCCCTGTGCAAGGATGGCACACAAATTCATGAAGCATTCTGTGCCGAGCCAGCTCAGCCAAGGGTTCGAAAGCCTGAGTGAGGGCGACAAAAGGATGAAGAAATGACAGACAAAGAGAATAAGCTGGGTCTAGGTGAATCTTCCTGTGCCTGGCTGAGGTCACAGAGAGAGATCCAGAGGCAAGCTGAGCCTTTATTTTATAGCAAGAGGTAAACAAGGTAGTGGTCACCATAGTTACAATGTTCTTGTGAGTTTCACTTCTTTTGGCAGCACTTGCTACATCTCCCTCAGCCCATTAGCTACCTAGGAAGGATCTAGGGAGCGTCTTAAGGTCAAGCCTAATTATGCTAAGAGGACTGTGCCCTCTAAGCTGGGACTTGTTTGTGGCTTTGCCAACAGGTCAGTCCGAGGCTTAACCCTATAGCCGTGCCCTACAGCATTCCATATATATATATATATATATATATATATATATATATATATATATATTTTTTAATAATTCAGAGTCAAGAGCGCTAATGCAAGAAGTTTACTTAGGAAGTCACAGAGTAGAAGAAATGAGCCAGCTAGACTGCATGGGCTCAGGAAACAAGTTACAGAGGCAAAAGAAGGGCCCTTAGAGCTTAGGAGAAGGAAAGCAAAAGTATGTGCCTGAGAAAGAAGGTACAGGCATGTGGGAGAGATAAAGGAGGCGGGGGTGGGGGTGGGGGTGGGGGGTGGGGAGAATGGGTCCTATATCTAAAGGGTTTTTATCTGTTTTCTAAAGGTGGGGATTTTAGGGGTGGTCTCAGGGGAGAATCTCAATATAATATTCATCAGCTTTCCAGGTCACTACTGATTGGTCAGCATTAGGATAGGGAGTCACTAGTCATTGCATCTGGTCCTGATGTCAGCCAAGGCCTTGCTTCATCCAGATTTGCTGCCTTTCTGGACCTGGAGCTGAAACACAACTGAGGCCTAGATGTTATTTCTAGTTTCACCAACACTCGGTCTCTATGGTCAACAGACCCAAGGTTTTGTTTCTAAGATTATTTGATGCTGGTCAGGATCTCATGGTCCTGAGGGCTTATTGCTCAAGGGAGTGGTCATGTAAGGGCTTTGTAGGGAGTCCTATGGAGTTATTCTCCGACACCTTGTTTGTCCTCTAGGAGGCTCCAAACCACATGACTAATGACACACTAGGGGAGGAAAGGTCCTAGCCTATAATAGTTGTTTTCTCTAGTTTTTCCCATTGCTAGGCACCTGGCACATTATGTCCTGGTGACGTTCTGTACCTGGCCTATATATAGTTCCTGCTCTGCTCATTCCTGTCTAACTGCCTACTCCATCAGCAGCACCAGAATTCAGGATGTCATTCTCCATTTAACCCCTTACTGATTAGTTGGTAGGCCCTGCTGAATAAGGGATAGATGGGAGGAAACATGAAAATAAACCAGATTGTCTTCAAGGAGCTTATCTTGGGAGAGGGTTTGAGGAACATCAATCAGGTGAGGAGGGAGGGTCACCATAAGCAAAGGACAGCTAGGAGGCTGTGGGAGTTGAGGTGAAGGGGAGATTAGTTTTAGCGGGAGCTTGGCAGAGAAGAGGTGGCATTTGATCTGGATCTGGAGGGCAGTGTAGGATTTGGACATGCTGGGAAAAGGAATTCCAGACATGAAGGCACAGTGGGGGAAAGGCCCAGGGATGTTCAAGGAGGAGTTGAGCCTGTGGGAGAGGGAAGGAGGGTGATAGTGGGAGACAGAAGAGGAAAGAAAGGCTGCCGTGGGCCTGGGGAAGGCTTTGACCTCCTAACTGCAGAGCCCAGGGCCAGAGCGGCCACAGGTCTGAGAAGCAGGGCACAGAGAATTTCAAGGACATCGTTTCCACTCTTTGGGGCTGTTCGTATGGAAAATAATAAATAATAAATAAGTAATTACACAAAAATGAACTCTGTTTCATGTACTCACAGCTGTAAACCTACTTTTGCCCCCACTCTATATGTTTAATTCATTTCATGAGCCTCAGTGAGCACTACTCTGTGACAGCCTCCCAGTCATGTGGTGAGCAAGACAGGCCCTGCCCCCATAGAGACTCTAGTGGTACAGACAGACAATTACACATTTTCTTAAAGGCAGCCTTCCTCGTTGTGTAAGCTTCAGGCTTGGACTTGCCTGGAACTTGGATGTGCCTGGAGCTATGAGATCGAGCAGTGATTTCCAGCTGGTCTGCAGGCAAGAATTTTTAAGACATGTAATACCTGACTTTTTAGTCAGGGGCACTGGCCCCTTTTCCCTTACATTGTCTAATAAAATAAATGACAACAGCCAACACAACAAGAGCTCTCTGGTGTGAAAGAATCAAAACTATGCCTATGTGTTTTTTTTTTTTTTATCAGATCAGCAAAAGATGCAATGTTTTTTGGCATGTAGATAACAGCCCAGTTATTTTTCCCTCATATAGATAACCAACTACATCAACACCATTCACCGGAGAGGCCATTCTCTCTTCCCGGGTATGCAAGGCTGGTGATGTAGGGTGGGGCAGGGTATTTAGACAGAAGGATAGGGAAGCCCTCTCTGAGGAGGGGACATTTGAGCAGAGAGCTGAATGACACGAGGGATGCTCATCTGGGGGATGCTTCCGCTAGGCGGAGGGAGAAAGAAGTGCCAATGCCCGAGGTGGAGTGGCTCAGTGTCCGAGGAGCAGCCGGAGGTCAGTGCAGGGGGCTGGGCGAGGAGGCTGGGATGCGAGGCAGCACTGGCCATTGGTGTGCATGCATCACAGCAACGCAGACTTCTAACTTTTTCAGGTCTAATTTTACAGGCCAGATTATTAAGAAACTTGCAGGACATAGTAAGTAAGGCCTTTGAACTTTGTTCTAAATGGGATTGCAGCCATTGGAGGGCTTTGAGCAGGGGATGACACAAGCAGATTCATGTTCTACCGTGACCCCGCTGGCTGCTGCATGGAGACTGAACTGTAAGGGGCTAGAGGTCAGCTAGAAGGAGAGAGGTTATGGCGTTTGGATCATGGTGATAGGCACAGGGAGGGAAGTTGTCAGATTCAGAGTGCATTTCAAAGGCTGAGTCACAAGAATTTGCTGATGGATTGGATGTGAAAGAAAGAGAGAAATAAACTAAGTTTTCCTCACCATTCCCTTCATTCTCTATTTCTGAAACTCCAACTGGGTGTTTATCAGATCCTCTTAATCCATCTGCCATTTCTCTCTTTTTTTAAATCCTCACCTGAGGATATGTGTCCATTAATTTTTTAGAGAGAGAGGAAGGGGGAGGGTGAGAAAGAGAGAGAGAGGAACATTGATGTGAGAAAGAAACCTTGATTAGTTGCCTCTGGTATACACCCTGAGGCCCTGACCAGGGATCAAAATCCCAACCTAGGTATGCGGCCTGACGGGGAATCAAACCCCACCCTGGCCAGGGCCCCATGTGCCATCTTAAGTAATCTTTCATGCCTTTGATCATTTCGTGCCCTGGCTGCATTCTTTCTAATTCCCTCTCTGCCTGTGACCAGGGTAGAGACTTTTGTGAGTATTGAGTTTTTAAATTTAATGACTATATTTCCAAGATTAAAAAATTTTCTCATGTCTACCTGTTGTTTTGTTTCTTTTGAAAATGTTATTGAGAGGTCACTGTTGACCTCTCTAGGACTGATCCTCTATGGGTGGTCCTCCCAGAAAAGGAGTGGGCTTCCTGCAGGGACCCACAGGAGCGGTGCCCATCAGGCCTGGACCGGGCCGATGCTGCCCCAGCCACAGGTCCCTGCCGCTAGGTTGCTAGGTCATATACTTGCAACCACCCAGCTTGGACCCCAGCCTTGTTCATACCCAGGAGTACTGGTGTACCTCCCACCAAGGACATGGATGCCAGGTTCTGCCACATCCTTCTGCCGTGACACACATCGCAGCCTCTGGTTGTCCCAGAAAGAAGCTGGTGTATACCTAGTCAATAGCTTCAAGGCCCCTCGGTCTGAGAGTCACTGTCCCTCTGATGTCTGATGTCTGGCTGCTGTACCTCTGGGTGCTTCCCTAGGAGAAAAGGGTCATGGGGGCCTTCACATGCCCCCTTGTTCCTCTCTGAGAGCTCCCAGTGGGTGCTGATCTTTGGGCCTCTGCATGTGCTGCTTGGCCATTGCCCTAGTTTGCATGGCAGACGTTATGCCTTCATTTCTCTCTGGAACATCCTCACTGTACTTCTGTATATCTATTATGCTGCTTCCTAGAATTAATGTCATCTGGATTGCTTCATGTTCAGATTGCGAATGTTTTTGTCTGTTATGCTTTGCCCTTGATTTCTTCATGTGTTTTGTAATTTTAAATATGCAGGTTCATTTTGAATGGGATGATTTTGGATTTTTTTTTTTCTTCCCGTATGTCCAACTCCACCTGCCTAGGGTTGCTCCTCTTGGCCCCCTGAACCCTTTGCTTGGAAACAGTCCTTATGCTGTTGGTTGGTGGCTGGTGATTGGAGATAATGTATCTCTCGGTTTCCCCTTTTTATATTTTTCCTGCCGTTGCAATGTGTTTGGAGCAGCGGGGTGCAACAAAACCAGACCCATTGTGCTATCCTGACCTAACAGATAGTCTTTTAATCCAGGGTGGGCACTTAACTCTCAAGCTGTGGCTCTGAAAACCTCATTGATAAGGCTTCTTCCAGAGCAACCACGATCTCTGGTGGCAGGTAGGGGTATGGCTGGCAAAGAGCCACCCAGAGGGCCAGGGGCATGACCACTTGTCTCCTTCTGTGGACTCAGGGCTGGAAGCAATCTGAGACCACGAGACCAACCTCCCACACAGTACGGTGTCTCATTTCCAACACACCCAGGAGATGGTCAAGGTCAGTTCCCTGTCCAGCAACCCACTCCATGTCTGGACAGCTGTTTTTAAGGGGCCTTTCTTGTATTGAGCAATTAAGTTTCTCCCTGTAGTTCTCACCCACGGCCCCCCTCCCTGTTTCTCTCAGCTGTTTGAGGGCAGCATTAGACTTCTCTTCTTCTGGCTCCCTTCTTCCACCTCCCCATCCAGTCGGCTGCTTTGTTCTGCATGAACTCTGGGATATCACGAGAACTTTGTAAACACGGCTTTATTTTGATCAGGGTGGAGAAGGACTCCATTTGGTTCCTGAGAGGGTGCTGCCTCCTCAGGTCTCTAAGCGGAAGAAGAGGAACAGGTCCCTTCACATCTTCTGGTCTCAGCTTAAGAATTCTCCCTGGTAGGTTACCGGGTGCTGCAAGTTTCACACGGAAGCATCTCCCTCTAGTGGCAACAAGGGTATATTTCAAGATGTTTTTCTCCCTTCCCGAGCTCTTTGCTCCAGAATTTCATTACAGCTCAAGAAGGTCACCCCAATAAATTAAGAAAGAAAAAAAGAAAAAAGAAGCTCCACTGAGAAGTAGGTGGGAGAGCTGTAAATTGCAAAGCTCCCCATCTGGCTTTCTGATTAAAATGAATTGGTTTTGCAGTGGTGAATGGTGAGAGAGAGAGAGAGAGAGAGAGAGAGCGAGAGTGCGAGCGAGCGAGCTTGGCTTCAATTTCCATGTTTCTCATAAGTTTTCCAAGCTAAAATGTGCAAATGGTTATACACATGTCAATTCGTCTTGTTCCCAGAAACGCCAGGATAGTTGTTCTTTTAGGTGGTTCCCTTATTAATTGGCTCCTTTTATTATTTTCTCTGTCCGTCTCTACTTGCTAACCGATTGAGTGGCGTTCTTTCAGTTGCAGTAAACAGACTTTTTCAGACCAGTGGAGGGAAGTTAGGAGGAAGTGGCACAACCGGGAGAAAGAACGCCCACAGAGGTCACACTGGAGCAGGAGCCCAGATCTTGTCTGGTTGTCCCCAACAAGGTACCCGCCTTCTCCCTGCAGGTCCCCATTCTCTGCTTGCTGCTGACCAGCTCCCTTGCCTGGAATTCCCATTTGCCTTTTCTCTCTGTCACAGCTTCTGCTGATTCATAATTTAGATTTATCCTTAGCTCATTGTGGTCCCTCTGGCACCTCTCGACTCTCTTCACCTCAAGACATATCAGCGTTGGCGCCTGCCACCAACTGCCTTATTTGTTGTGAGTGGCATTTCCCAGTTCTGTTTCCTGAGACAGAAATCGAACACCACCCCCACCTCCTTTTTAAAAAAATGTTAGGCCACATTAACAGTCTCTGGCCAGCCAGTGAATTGGCCCTTTGGGGTCTGCTTCCTGTTGCAGTCATCTGGGCAGGGGAGAGAGCACAGGCCCAGGGCAGGCAGCTCCCATTGGAAGGGCAGGGGAGTGTGGCTCACCATAGGGCTGTCCCACTGGAAGCTCCTGGGTAGTGGCTGTGAGTGGAGCCTTGCGGGGAGCTGGGTGCTTTGGTCTGCAGTGCAGGGGGCTGGCAGCTCCCACAGAATGGAAGCTTCAGGACATCTCTTGGTGGGATCCATCCTTTCCATCTGTCCTGCTCGTTCCCATTCCCATTGTGTGGCCAGTGTTGAGGGCCGGGGGGCAGGGGGACACAGAGAATGGTGTGTGTGTCCCTGGGGTGGCACCGCTAGGAATTACCTTGTGGGCTGGTTGACTGGTTGCTGATGGGGGACTATGTCACCTTAGGTCAGGGGAGATCGGGGTTGGGGGTGGCACCCTGCTGCTGGTTGATAGAACAAATTTGATCGAATTTAGAAAAAGGTACCATTTTCTCAAGACACTTCATTGGCATTTTCCAGAAAACTGACATAGCAACCGGACAGACCTGTGATGCCTCGGAGGGAGAGGAGCCCTCGGGAGCGGTGCAGCACAGAGCTTGCTGCCTCAGCTGCCTCTCAGCCTGCCAGCTCGAGAGGTGTCCTTGCAAGACTGCATGTGGCCGTGGAATAGTGGCTCTCCCACTCAGGGGACATAAATGCATGGGTTTGGGAATATGGAAAACTTTCGGGGGGAGAGCGGAAGAAGATGAGCATTTGTTGAGAACTTCCCACATGCTAGGTGCTACGTATACTGTTTGACATACAGTATTCGCAATTTTGCATCAAATCTGTGTTGTGACTATCGTTACTTCCATGTTACACCGAAGGACACGGGCTCAGAGGCGCAGCCAGGGCTGCTGCAAGTGCGACGTGTGCATTGCTCCAAGAGGTGCTCTTTGCTTTGTGGTTATAGTGGCCAGAGGTGGGGCCAGTAAGTCCCTTTCCCAGGCCACACAGCAAGAGAAGGCAGAGCTGGGATTGGAGGCCATGCTCTTTCTGCTGCACCAATCTTTGGAGACCCCACAGCAACTGAACTACTTTCCCCCCTCTCCTTAGAGAAAGTTCCATTTGTGTATTCTGAAATCAAATGCAGGTGCATGGAGTTTTATCCAAAATGACAGTGACCTCTCAGAAGGAAAAGTGAGAATCTGCTACGTGTGACACCCGCTGCTGTCCCAGGTGTCGGGCTATTATCAGTGAGACACAGAGTCCACGGAAGTCTGGCCTGGACTGTGACCCGAACCAGGTGGCTTTGGTTGGGATGACGTCAATCTGAAGACTGAGTTCAACGCTCAGTTAGAGATGTCCTACCCACAGAAGTTTGGTTTCAGGTTTGGCATGGGACCTACCGAGCATCTCAATTTTTAAAAGCTCCCTGGTGATGCTAATGACAGCCAGGGCCGAGAAGCCCTCAGCAATCAGCCCTTCCTCCTGGGGAGGGAGGGGAAGCCGGAGGAGGCAGGTGGCTCGCTCAGCACCCAGCTGGTTAGTGTGGCTACTGAGAGCGTGATTCCCATTGGATCCTCTGTTGTGCCTCAGAGGGGCAGGAAAAGGTGAAGCAGGGGAAGGAGAAAGAGGTGGATAACTGTTGGAAGAGAGAGAGATGCCATGCGTGTCTCTTAGGGTAGGTGGTGGGGGCAGTGAGGAGGCAGCTAGTTGTTCCCTGGGCCTGCTCAGCACGCGCTTACCCACCACGCCACAGTGAGCTGATCCCTGGAGGATATCACTGTTGTGAGCAGAAACCAGATATGACTCAGGCCAGGAAATTGCCTGCTCCTGTTACTAGTGCGGGTGAGAGGCAAAGCTGTTGTAAGACAAACACCTAAGAATACAGCGGCTTAAAGAACCTCATGGCGGGCGGGGCCCGGAAGGAGGTTTGTTTCTCTCATTCAGCAGTGTGGTGAGTAGCTGAGCTCATTTGTCCACAAGGGCAAGCGGGTCCCAGCACCGCCCCGGCATCAAACCGCCGACTAAGTGGGGCCCGGAAAGAATATGCGGGCACTTAGGTGACAGAGGCCACTTCTGCTCATTTCCCAGCGATGAAAACGGAGTCCCCTGGAAGCAAGGGGCACTGAGGAATGAGGCCCTTCCTGGCAGCCAGTGCCCAGCCACAGCTGTTCCTCTCGAAGGAGAAGACAGATTTTGGAAGCCCTCAAAGGAACTTGCTCCTGGTGCCTCTCCACCCATTCTTCCAGTCAAGAAGCATTTTGAGCACCGCCTGGAGTTGGCCAGGCCTGGGAGTGGGCACAGAGCAGGGTGCTTTAGGACAGGGAACACTCCCCAGAGGCTGTTTGGACTGAGTTGTGAAGATGAATAGGCATGCGAAGAAGGGAATGCCAGGCAGGAGACAGCTAGCTGTGCAAAGGTTGGGAGGTGGATGGGATGAGGGAAGGGTTGAATGTGACAAAGTGCCTGGTGGTGGCCAGAGAGAACGGTGGGGCCAGACCGTGCAGACTCTCTCATGAAGCTAGAACATCTGCATGTGAAAGGAAACTTTGGGGGGATTGACCCCGAAATTTTAACCTTCATTGAAAAGAAAGTTACATCTCCTAGGACAATGCAAACGAAGGAGAAAATAAACAAATGGGACTATATCAAAATAAAAAAGCTTCTGCACAGCAACAAAACAAAACAAAAACAAACAACAACAAAAAACCCATCAACAAAACAACTAGAGACCGCACTACATGGGAGAACATATTTGCCAATGACACATCCAATAAGGGGTTAATCTCCAAAATATATAAGGAACTCATACAACTTATCAAAAGGAAAACAAACAGTTCAATCAAAAAATGGACAAAGGGCCTAAATAGACACTTCTCTAAAGAGGACATACAGAAGGCCAAGAGACATATGAAAAAATGCTGTCACTGATCATCTGAGAGATGCAAATCAAAACGACAATGAGGTACCATCTCACACCTGTCAGAATGGCTATCATCAACAAATCAACCAACGACAGGTGCTGGCGAGGTTGTGGAGAAAAGGGAACCCACATGCACTGCTGGTGGGAATGCAGACTGGTGCAGCCACTATGGAAGACAGTATGGAGTCTCCTCAAGAAATTAAACATGAAACTTTGCCATGGAGAGCGCCTCCTTTGTTCCTACGTGCTGCTGTTTCCTCATGTCAGTAATTTTTGAGGAAGGCGAGTTGCTGTCGGGAGGCTGGGGTGGCTGCTGCATGTGGAGGTGCTGTCACAGCCAGGAGGGAGCAATCCCGGACCGATGCAGAGCTCAGGGATTCCCGGGCCCCAGGGCAGAGATAGTGAAGCTGAGTCTGAACAGTTTCTTCTAAACAGTCTCGCAGGCTCAGAGCTGAAGAAGTGACAGTAGCCTGTGGGCAAGTCTTTCCCAGGACCGTTCTCTTGCGGGCTGTGATTTTAGCAGGCCACCTGACCAGGGCAGGGCCCTCAGGATGCACATTGGGCTAGGTGACCTCCAAGGTCTTTTTCAGGATCCTCTGGATGCTGACAGCACAGAGACTAGAATTATGGTGACTGTGTCTTCCCAACCAAATGTTAGGACACGTGGCCTGGCAATTCAGGAACTCATTCATCACAAAGATTTAGTAAACTCCTACTATGTGTCAGGCGTGGTGCTGAAGGGACAGCAGTGAAATAAGTCATGGCTCCCACCTCAAAGCAGCTCCCAGTCTGGTTGGGGAGACACCCACACATATAATTATCATGCAGTGTGTGGTGAGAAGCAGAATCCTGTTGTATGTGCACAGAGGAGACGTACCCAGCCCCGACTCTGGGGCTAGGGAGGAGGAACCAAGGGACTTGAGGCTTAGAGAATGAGCAGGGGTTCGCTGGGCCAGGCAAAGGGAGTGCAAAGATGGAGCGAGGACAGGCGGATGGTTTTTCTGCCTGACCCACCAGGTTAAGGTAAGGCCTAAAGGCAAGCCATATGAAGAGGGGACAATGACAAAGCACAGGTCCCTTGACTTCATGGCCCAAATTCAAATGAAGGAGAAGGGCCCTCTCCTTCATATGAGGGTCTCAAACTCAGTGTCCAGCCACCCAAAGTCTGACCTGTGTGACCCCTTCAGAGTTCCTCCCGGGCGTCATGGCAACCTAAAACTCCCTGGGGCTGCAGGTGAGAACCCCTGCTTCATTGGAGGACTGTGAAACGTGGGCCCCTTAATACCCAGTGCAGTGCTGAGAGCAGGAGGTGGTGGGCAGCCTGTGTGTGTGTGATCCTACCCGTTGGGGCGATCAGCAGGGACTTGGCAGTGAGAGGTGTCATTAAGTTTACAGCTGGCACAGGCCAGGCCAGGCCAGAAGACATGTCTCAGGAGGCCCCTCTGTGCCTGGCTGGAGGCGTCCGGGAGGCAGGGCCTTCCCAGGGAGGACACCGCTGCTGGTTCTGCTGGAGGTGGGCCGCGGGGCCTCCAGAAAGTGAATTCCAATCTGGCCATTTCCTCTTCTAAGACTGGGAATCAGCCCGCAGGCTCTGTTTCCTGGTTGCTGCTGGCCTCAGCCTCCTGAGCAGATAATGAAAGTCCGTGGAAGGCACAGAGGTTTTCCGAAAAGCAGCCTTGGGGTCAGCCGGACCGGAATTTAAACCTTAGCCCTGCCATCACCAGGTGTGCAGTCCTGAATGCTTAGCTTCTCTGAATTTTGATTTCCTCACCCATGAAATGAGGTTAATCATATCTATTTTTAAACAGCTGTTGAGAGAAGCAAAGGGACTAACATGTAAAGCTCATTCTTCATACCTTTAGTTCTCTGGTAGCGGCTGCATTCATCCATCCATCAACAGTTATTGATTGCTACTTATTGCTAAGCATTTTCTCAACCTCTGTGCTGAGGGGTCCCGGGCCCGCAGTGAATTCACAGGGCGCCACGGGATGTATTAAATGTTTAAGCCACTCTTGACATCTGTCCGACTCTAAGCAGACTATAACTCGCTGGGGATAGTCCGCATTTTCACCATTAGATTGCCGACCGTGCTTTCTGATGACATCATATCTGTGGGAAGCTGGCTTTGTTCGGTCGCTGTAATAAACATCAGGTACCTGTAATAAACAAGTACCTGTAATAAACATCAGGTACTTGGGAAAATCAATATACAATAGGAAATGAGGGTGGTGGTGTCTACTCTGAGTCCCAGGTTTGAGATGCTGTGCAGTATCCAACCAGCACACACTTCCCATTAGTAAGTAGTTGTGGTTATTTAAGAATAAATTAGAAATATCCCCCTCCCCCATTTATATGTATTATTTTTTTGTAATAGTCACTCAGTTATTAGGACCTAAATGCTTGTTACATTACTTGGGCTTTAATGAACAGAACCGGTAGATATTTCTTTTGGCCCAGGAGGCTGTGACAAGAATTCCGGAGCCCCTAAGGCACTCTGAGAGGAGCAGGCTGGGAACCCTCGGTGGGCTGGGGATGAGCTCCGGGTGAAATCATTCCCGGTGAAATCTTTCATTTCCAAGCGCTGGGCCCACTCTGGGTGTTTGTCTTTACAGACTCAGGAGCGTCTGTGTGCGCGCGGGTAACGCTGCGGATTCTGCAGATTTTCTAACTGGTGGTCCCGCCTGCCTGACCTGAGCGTCACCTGGGGAACTTTGCAAATCAGCTTCCTGTCTCCCCCTGGAGATTCTAATTCAGTGGGTCTGACAAAGGAATCTGAGTTTAAAAATCTCTGCTCTAACTCTCATTCCTTTAGGCGGCCAGGATGGCCCAGATTTGGGGGGCCCGGTTGTTAACCCGGGGATAGCAGGGGAGGGGGGGCGGGACAGGCTGTGGTCCGGGAACTGTGCGTTTCGGGATCTCCAAGTGGGTAAGGGGCGCGGGCACCTGCCGCCGCACTCGTGCCCACGTCCATTCGGGGTGCGCAGCGGGAGTGGCCCGGAAGGAAGCCCCGGCGCGGGGAGGGTCACCCGCACCCCTGCCCGGGCCCTGTGATCGCGTACCTCCCCCGGCCAAAAGCCCACAGACCCCCAGCCGCCTGGGGAGGGCTTGGGGCGGGGCGCGAGGTGGGCGTGGGAGACGACTGAGTGCAGCCGAAGCGGCGGCCGAGAGGTGGCAGCAGCGGCCCGCCGGCAGCCCCGAGCCCGGGCGGGCGGGGGTGCAGGGCGGCTCGGACCGGCTCAGAGGCTGGTGGGGGGCGGGGACCCCGAGGGAGGAGCCGCGGAGCGCGACAGACACCCAGGGGCTCTAGGGACGCTCCGACACCGCCCAGGGATGGGCTGGTCTGGGGGTTGGGCCGTCTCCTTGGCGAGCTACGCCCGGTTTGTTCTCTGCACACGATTTTGGGGGAGCAAGACGCTGAGCTCGGTAACACCCAGCCGAGCCGAGGCCTTCGGTACCCACCGGAACCATGGTCTCAATGTGGTGCGATGTGGAGAGTTAGTTTTTATTTTTTGGTTGGTGGGTGAGGGTGCGGGGATTAAAAATAGCTCCCTTGGTGGTGTCTGAAATTCTATTGAAGATGCGTTCTTTTGTCTTTTTTGGGGGGTGGGTGGTGTTATATTTTTTTAAATTTAATTTAATTTTTTCCATCACCATGTATCCCCTCTATGCCTCTTCCACCCCCACCTGCTTTCATTTGCCTTAAGTACTGTCCCCTCTTCAAGGCCCTGGGAAGGAGCAATGCATTAGGACTTAAACTCTGTAGAGTAAATCAATGACTTAATCTAATCTTCCTTTCTGGCAAGAGAAAGGGTAGGTAGCTCAAGAAACACAGAGCACGGAAAGCACATTAATTGGTGCTTGCTGATGGAGCCTGGGGGACCAGGGCCCTCCTGGGGAATGTCTCAGACGGCCGCCTTAGGGAAAAAGCAGCCAGCCAGCTGTGACTGTTCTAGGGAGGACTACGGAGGGGCTGTTCAGTGCACTGCAGCACTGTTATTATTATACTAGAGGCTCGATGCATGAAATTCATGCAAGGGGCTTGGCCCTCGCAGCCCCTCGCAGCCCCGGATTCATCTGGAAAGTCATCTGGTCATTCTGCTGTTCGGTCTAATTAGCATATTAGCTCTTTATTATATAGGACTAGAGGCCTAGTGCATGGGTGGGGTCCCTTGGCCTGGACTGCCATGTGCCTATGGGGAGGATGGGATGGGTGGGGGGGGGGGGATGGGGCCGGGGGAGGGGGCGGGAAGGGGAGGCAGTCAGCAGCGGTGGGTGGGGGAGGAGGGACCGGGAGGGACTGTGGGAGGCTGGCTGTGGGAGTGCACTGACCACCAGGGGGCAGCTCCTGCATTAAGCCTCTGCTCCCTGGTGGTCAGTGCATTGTCATAGGGACTGGTCCACGGGTCCTAATGGTTGCTTAGGCTTTTATATATGTAGACAAGAGTATTAATACTTAAATAAGTTATAAAATTTACCCCCTTGCCTTCTACGTTCTCTCTTTGAATTAGGGACGTGGTATGGCGTGATAAACTTTTGAGTCAGGCATTCCTGGCATGGAGATCCTCCCTGCCACCCGGGTGGTTACTGGCTGTGTAATTGTGGAAAACACTACTTCGGAGCCTGTTTTCTCATCTGTAAAAATGGGAAAACGGTAGCTACTTGTGTGAATGTTAAACAGTGGATGGAAAACACCTGGTATATGCACTGACTTCGAGTCCAAGTGCTGTGTGATTAATGACAGTTACTGCGGAGAGCGTCCCTGTGATATGAATTTTTGTGTCTTTCTTTCTTGGT